TCCATGGTATTGCCACTTGAAAATTTGTTGAAATTCACAGAGCAAGATTCCATTAGGAGACCATTAAATTATCCAATATTCCTACTACAGTGACATCATTTGAACATGTGAGAGAAGCCTGATAGTAAAACTCCTCCACAGACTCAGCCTAACATTCTTCATCTGTTGGGAAGCAGAGGTCATGTAAATCTGTTTAAGCAGATACTTAAAGCATAATTGAAGAGTAGATACTCTCTGAAAATCCGTTTGCACTTTTTTATTAATTTCTCAGTATCTTCTGTTTTTAAGGAGTGATCCATAAGGCAGGTTGACCTGGTTCCTGCTCTGGAGCTCTTATTTCCCTGCTTTATTAGCAGAGCTAATACAGGCTTGACACAAACTGGGTAAAACAATTTACCTGATCATGGAATTCTCAAGCTGCTCCAGATAAAAATGATCCTGTGCCACTGCAGGGCATGCTGAGGGGTGTGATCCCTGATGGCTCTCCTCAGGGTTCAGCAGCTGGTTCTGATGGGGGTGATGGCCTTTGGGGTGGATCCAGCTGGTGGAATGGGATCCACACAGAGGGAGGGTGAATACTGCCTGCATTTAACCCTTCCATCGTGTCAGGGTTTGCCCCCACTGAGTAGGGGTTTGGGACTGGGTACCAACAGCACAGATGTTCAGATCTGTGCCAGCAGTTCCCTTGGATGTAGTTTGTGAATCTCTGAACGTGCTTGGGAAGAACAGACAAAGCCATTCGGTTTTGCTGTCGCTGGTCCTGTTCTTAAACCTACACCACATTTTAAATCCAAATTGATTTACTGCTTTGATATTTCTTTCAATTCAGTATATTTTGCTTCTGCCTAACAAGCAGGCCTCTGTTTATCTAATTCATTTTAAATCTAAATTGTTAATCACATTTCCAGTAGCCAGCAGAGGAGCAGTGGTGGTGCTGTTTGCCTTTCTGTGCTGCGTGGTTTGCACTGCAGGTGCTGTGGCAGCTCCTCGTGCCATCACTGGTTCTGCTGGGCAGGGTGGGGCTCCTCCTGTGTCCTGCAAAAAGCCTGGCACTGCATCTGCTCTGAGTGGCACTGGGATTGAGGAGTGTCCATAACACTCATCGGGGAGGGAACACGCCCAGGCCAAGGAGTGCCTCACGTGGCTGTGGGAAGATGGAATGAGAAGCTATAATTGAAATTCTGCTGTAGTAAATTTAAAATTAATTGGCTAACAAATTTCATTCCTTAGGCATGCCATCTGAGGCTGAAAGACTTAATTTTTTTATATATTTTAAATGTTTCATCATATATGCTCATAATTCAAAGTCAGCAAACAGTCAGAAATCTTTTAAGTACTCGTGAAGGGGGAATAGATTTTGTTATTTCAGTTCCAGGTTTTTTGAGACCTGGTTAAAGGGGCTTTGAATTACTTGAGATTTTTCAGGTATCTGTTGTTTTACTGGATTAAAACAGCTGAGAACTTAATGTGCACTTCAGCTCTCAGGTGTGAGCAGAAGTGGAGCAAGGACAGGAGGGCATTGCCCCTGCCCTTGGAAGGAGCTTTTCCTCTTCAGAGTCCCACCTGGAACTTGGTGCACTTGGGGCTTCACCTGGAATTCAATCAGAGTGTCCTGGTTTTGTTCCAGTTAATACATGTAGTTTAAGGAGCCATTCAGCTAAAAGATTTTTTTTTAAATGTCCTAGTTTTTGTAAAAATATTTTTTTGATACTTTTTCTGTAGTTGTAAAACAGCTTTTTAAGTCCTTACTTCGGAGATTTGGTTGGGAGAGAAAGAAGTTGGCACCTGAACCTTCAAGATCTACTGTTAAAATGTGAAAATAATTCAGTCAAAGCAGCAGCATTTGTCCCTCTGCGTGGTGCAGTTCAAAAGGAAGGACTGATTTCCTTCCCATGTATTTCCCAGTGCTCTGTGCAGGCAGGAGGGATGGGCATCAGGGAGCAAACACCAGGGGCTTCTTCACTGGGGGAAGGTGCCCAGAACATCCCCGGGTGTCCGGCGAGGTCGGGCGGGTGTTTCCCACACCAGGCTGTGCTCCTGCCCTGCAGCATGGGCAGGGGTTTGCTGCAGGCTCACCTGGTGTAGGAACAAGGTGGGAGCATTGCACAGGGGCTTGTCAGGTCAGGGGACAGCTGCAGGCAACGGGAATGTGTTGTTTCCTTCCACCATCCTCCAGCTTCTGCCGGGGCCCTTCCTTTGGCCAAGGGCTCTGAGAATCCACCCCACCTGCTGTGCTCCTGGGCTGCGTAACCTCGTGTTAGTTGAACGTGCTAAGCCATCACTGTATTAGAAAACAGATGATTTTACAAGTTACTTTATGTTTCAGGTCCTCAGTATCGGCTGGAGAAGCAGAGTGAACCTAATGTCCCAGTAGATTTAGACTGTACCTTGGAGAGCCAGAGCACTTTGGAATTCTGCCTTGTCCGGGAGAACAGTATGTTTCCCCTTTTCACTTTTGCTCTTGTAAACTGCTTAAACTCACATAAGTTATGTATTTTGGAACACAAGCTGTACTGTCTGGGCAAGTACGTTTTGACGAGACTCTGTGTCCTGAGGCACTTCTCCATGGTGCCAAAACAATATTCCAGAGGGAAATGATGGATCTCATACCTTTAGTAAATAGTCTGCATCCTGTTTATCACTTCATGATTAATCTTTTGCTGTTAAACTCTGCTCTGTGAAGTTATGGCCAACCCTGAAAAACACGAAATATGAACCTGTCTGTGTTGCAGACATTGCTCAGTGAGTCGAGGGGTTGGTCTGCAGGGTGTTGTGCCGTGTCAGTGTGGCTGACAGAGGCACTGGGGTTTTCTAATACAATTTAAAGAAACTAGCCATGCAGAAATAACTAGAGCAGTTTGATGATTTTTGAAGTGCCAGACAAATAATCTTCTCTCCAGCTCTGCTCAATTATTTTTATTCTATTACTGTTTTAATGATCCTAATATTTATTTTCTGATTTATTTCTTTACATGAAACAATATGAAACTTTAAAAAAAGACATTTAACATTGACGTGTTTGTTCCCTATGGCATTTTGGTCCATCCTTCATTCTTTACAAGAGCCCCGCTCTCAGTTTTGGTGTTCTTTCATTCCATTTTGTGTAAAAATGTTGATTGTACTAATGAGTAAAACCATCACAGTCCTGCCCTCAGCCAAGAACTGCACACAGCCATAGTAAGAGCCTGCTTCAAGTAGTGGAAGAGTTTGTTCTTTCTGTGCAAAGGTTAAACCTTTCAACTGATGCTTTTTGGCCACAGCAGCTGTATCTTACCCCAGAATGGCAGCAGAGCATCCCCAGAACAGCCCAAAACAGCCCAGGTTGCAACAGTGAGCAGCAGCACGAGCCCCCAGTGCTGCTGGGCTGGGATTAACACTCACAGCTTTGGCTGCTGCTCTCCGTAAGGTGGGACTTGCTCCCAAAATACTCCTGGTGCTCCTGGTTAATTTCTTCATAAAATGGTTCTGAGAAACTGTAGGAGAGACCTTGGCAAGAGGGAGCAGGGGGGCTGTGCTGAGGAAATGGAGTAATTCTGACCTCACTAATCAAGTTGTGCTCTTCCACAAGACAGAATTCCCCGACGTCTGCATCCCACCTATTATTTTTGTATTGATTTTTAATCTATGAAATGATGCACACTAGTCATACTTGCATGGGTTTTGCTTCTGATTTAAAGTAACATTTTTTTAAACCCAGGCTCTGTAATTAAAAGAATACTGTAGATACTGCATTTTTAATGTATTTTCATCATTTGTGGAGGAATCCAGGCCGTGGCCTGTGGCTGTATCTCCTGCAGGTCTTTGCTCTCGTGAGTGACTGGGTTCAGATTGCCCCATTACTTAAAGAGTAAATCTGTTGGAAGTTTGTAGTTAGTGTAGCAGGAGGCAGTCAGTCTGCTCTGCTCCAGGAGAACCTCAGGAGCCTTGGCTCAAAATCAGTGTCGGTCAGAGTGCTGAGGGGACTCTTCTCCCTTCCCCTGAAGTCCTTGTGCTGCACTGCTCCCCTTCCCTCCCAGGCCAGGGGACACCAAAGTGAGCCCTGCTCCTCCCCTGGGCACTGGAGAGGTGTGGGATGGATCCCTGGGGCTGCCAGACCCAAATTCCCTGAGCTGGGAGAATTCCTGCCCTTGTTGTCTGAGCTGGGGGAGTTCCTGTCCTCGTTCAGCAGTGATGTGCCCAGCTAGGAGCAGGACCTGGAGCCCTGCTGGGGGGGAGTCCCATGGCAGGGGCACCCTGCATGCCCCTGCTCAGAGGGCTCAAGGGCAGCGTGTGAGATCAGTCACAATCCCTGCCTTGTGCAGAGCCTGGCTCCTCGCTGCGCTGTCAGAAAATGGATTTTGGGGTGCTTAGGAGCTATCTTTTGGCATGACATTAGACTAGAAATATTGACAGTTTTGCACTATTAATAAAATAATGGCTTGACGATCCTATCAGCAAACTGAAATATTCACTTTGTGCATTCTGTCTTGATTTGAAATACTTTTAGCTTCGATATGGCGGTCAGAAAAAACTCTGTTGTAGCAGCTATTACTTGTAAATGTGCTCTTCATAGTCTCAGTCATTTATAAATATATATATGGATGATGCCAAGCATCTGCTGGGAGAAGAGCAGCCACATTCCTTTGGGCAAAGAGAAAGTTTATATTTCAGGGTATTAAATGAAACAAAAACTTTCCATTATTAAGAAATATGTATGGAGAAATCCCCTTTCCATCCAGCATTTACTAATAGCATTCAAGCTAATAAACTGCTTCCAGTGTGCAGAACTTTTAACTTGCACAAAGATTTATCTTTAAATTGAAAGCTGCACTTTGTAATGCGAAATGCCTTTATGTGTGGTAGGAAGCCGTTCATGGCTAATTTAGTTTTATTCTTGCCATCTTACTTCTGGAAAGTTCCTCTTTCTCATTTTATCATTAGATAGTAATTAGTATTCAAGGGAAATTGGTCTTAATATATTAAAATTGGTTTAGTGCCTTTAGACCTATAGCAAAGCCAATGTCTTATTGGAAAATGTAATTGGGGACTCTGTGTATGTAATTAATTGTATTGCAATTAAGAACTTTCATTAAGCAATATTCTAGTACATTAAAGTAATAAGGGACATTTTTGCAGTGCAGTTAACTTTGTGTTTTGTTGTTTTATCGAGGAAATACAGGTTCACTTGCTCTTGAGTAGGCTGCATGTGACATTTCAGTGCTGTGGTGTTCCTAATGTGTCATTTTTATCTGTGCTGCGGGGCTGGCAGGGGTCCCTGTTGCAGGAGGCTCCTGGTTTAGCTGAGCACCCAGAGGAGGAAGCTCTGGTTTAGCTTCTGCCTTGCTTCCAGCTCATGGAGCTGGTGCTGTTCCATCGCTGCTGGTCTCAGTTGAAAATCAGAGTTTTCGGTGAGGAGGTGGCACGAGTGACCGACCCCACTGTGTTTCTCAGGCCTGGCCTGGGGGCTTTGTGGGCAGCCCAGGGTCGGGGGAGTCGGTTCTGCCCTGTCCCAGCTCTTGTCCCAGCACAGGGTGCCGTGGTGACCACACAGCTGGGGACAGGGCTGTGGGGACACCCCGCTGCCTTCCAGCCTGGAGGAGGGTCCCGCGCTTGGCAGCCGGGCAGCAGTGCCACTGCCATCCTGCCTCACTGCCACGCATGGCCACACCACAGCCTCTCAAGATGCTTTTAAGTGCACCAAAAAGTTTGACATATCTCAGTGTATCTTTGGAGTAGTGCAGCATGAGGGTTTGACATGATACATTATGATAATCCATAGTATAGAGACATTAACACAGGGGTCTGTGACAAAATGCATTGTAATGTCTCGGAAGGAGCCATTACAATTTATCTTGTCACTCTGGAGCATGGAGTGGTTGCAGTGTTAAGATGGCTCTGCATAAATTCACATGGAGACTGTTTAATTTGGTTTTTGGAATCCTTTCAAGTCGAATGGCACAGCCCAATTTGTAGCTTAACCCTTCGATGTCCCACTTCCCCAAAGGAGGGTCCATGGTGTGTGAGGAGGGCAGCACTGGGAAAGCTGTGGAGAAAGTCTCTGACCTGGGAATCTCCTGCTTTATGCTCTCCATGTGCTTTTGGACTCATTTAACAGCAGATGCTCACAGTGGTATAGTGTTGAGGCCACTCCAACAGTACAAATCTCAAGCAAAATTAATACTGAAAAATCTGACAGGCTGGTACCTGCTTTGCTGGAGCTTTAAAATCTGTACTAAAACTCCATCATCTCATCTTCCCATTATTAAAATTTCAGCAAAATATGAAGTTTTCATTAATCTCTTGCAGCAAATTTAGTTCTCTGAACTGGCAATTGGTTCAGCTTTTAGGACTACATTAGCCAGGATATTAAACAAAATGTGTCATTCCTCAGGATCTCCTGTAAGAAGCTAAATCAGTTTTCAAACATATTTATGCCACTTTATCTACCAGCATCTGAATGATCATTTCGAGCTGAGGTGCTTTATTAGCAGCTGGCATCGAAATTACTCTCTGCAATTATATATTGCATTATAGTAATGTTGAAATTGGTGTTAATCCAACATCATAAAATGTAAAAAATCTTTAAAGTGCGTTATATTTTTTCAGTAATTGGCATTTGGCTTAATGAGTTGTTGCCTTTTATAAAGGCAGTACCTGCAGTGGTAATAAGAATACTAATCAGTAAATAAAGTGCAGCTTCACACCAGCCCGAGGTGCTGCCAGCACATGGGAGATGTGTGCTAGTGTTGGCATCAAGGGTGGCACCTCTGGGGACAGACACCTCTGGGCCCACCTCTGGCTGGACTTGTGGGCACCTGTGGCCCGTGCCTGGGCTCCGTGCTGGGTGGCAGGCGGTGCTGGCAGCAGGGTGTCCCTGCTCCTCCCCTGGCACGCCGTGGTCAGGGGCTGCCCGTGCTGCCAGAAGCGTGCTGGCACGGTGTGCTGCTCTTCCTGCAGCCACCACCGACTGCCACCAGTGCCTCGCTGCTGCCCTGGGCTGGAGGGTGGCATTTCCTCCTCTCCGAGCGTTCGGTGCTCCCCCAGCCAGCTCCCCGTGGCGTGCCAAACCTCCCCTTCAGGACTGTGGCTTGTCTTGCAGGTTCAAGAGGAGAAGAGGTCTCAGAGGAGGATCCCCAGATCGATATTGCCACAGTGCAGGACATGCTCAGCAGCCACCACTACAAGTCCTTCAAAGTCAGCATGATCCACCGGCTGCGGTTCACCACGGACGTGCAGCTAGGTAAAGCGACCCGCGCCACAGCCCAGCCCTGTGCTGTCCCAGCGCTGCCTGCACATCTCAGGCCACTCTCCAGCAGTCATTATCACCTTGGGCCGTTTTCTCAGGGAGCATTTGAAAGTGTTGCTGGCATTTCAGCAGTTAAAAATATTGCTTTCAGTTGAAAATACTTCGGTATTTTTATTATCCCCAATCAGTTGCACATGTTGCCTCTGAACGAAGGCCATTATTTAATGACCTCGTCTCTTTTTTTTCAGTCTGGGCTTCCTAATGGAAAGCTTCTTGCCAACTGTTTTGTTATTTTTAAATGAGGCTTTGCAAAATTGGGAGTTATTGGGTTTTTCCTTTTCTGAGACTGAAAGATTTTTAATGACCTAGTGGAAATTGGAGGTGGAACAAAATAAGCGAGCATTCTCCAAAGGTTTTGTATTGTCCTTATTGGCTCGCTGAATGCTTTTGAAAACCCGAAGGCCAAGGGCTGACAGAATCCTGAATTATAAAAGCCCCATTACTGTTTTAAAATGATTGAATGGCTTTTTATCTTTGTGTTTAAATTGTGAAAATTTGATTAATGATGCATTGGTAGGTGACCTATGACATTCCTGAAAATACTTCCATAAAGAAATGATTCAGCAGTAAGATATTATGTGCCATAATGTTTACAAAATACATTTATTCTGTAGAATTCAGAATTGTTAATTTATCCCAACTCCTGTATTATTGTCACTACAGTCTCCTCATTCTTCTATCCTGAAGCACATGTAAGGGGATGTGTCTGTAAAATTCTCACAGAAGAGGCTTTTTTGGTTTATTTGGAGCTGTCTAGTTAAGGCAGGATTTATCAGCTGGTGCTGGAGCAGGGCAGTGCTGGGCATGTTTGCGGCGTTCGAGCAAACTCAGGGTGTGATAGTTTGCTTCCAGTGAAGTTTGACTCACTGTATCTGGGAAGTGTCAGAAATGAGAGCTTGAAAAGGTCATGACAGATCACTAAAGATAAATGGTTAAGGGAGAAGAGCTGTTAAATGAAACAAATGGCTTAACTTGTGCAGCAGTGGAGGAGCTGACCCTGCCCAGTGCTGTAAGGACCATAAAATTTCCCTTTTATAACAATCTGTGAACTTGCAGGATTTTGATGGCAGTGCATTGACAATGGGGTTTTGTAATCTAATTATTTTTTAAAAATCAAAGAAAACCCCAGCAGGGTGTTCAAACCTTGGGCAAATTTAGAAAATCAAAATATTTCTATAAAGCCTGAGTAAGTTTCTGGGGTTTCTCCTGAATTTTTAAAAGATATTAAAAGAGCAAGATTGGTAAAACAAGGACTGAGGGAGGGGCTATTTGGGTTTGGGCTGATGAGTGCTACATGTTACCTGTAAGTGACAGACTGCTTCTTTCTCCCTGAAATGGTAAAAACAGGCGCTAATTTTTTGTCTTCAGCCACAGTGCCTGGTCTGGGAGCTGTTCTCCAGCAGTTTGATGATGCCCAGTTGCAAACACTTTCCTTTGCAGCCTTTTTTTGCCATAGCAGAGCAAGTGTTCCTCGAGGACCCTGAGAAATCCTCTGCCATTCCTTTGCTCTTTGATGGCAGATCAATGGTGCCAGCGGCTGTGCAGGAGTGGATTGCACTTTTTTGAAATGTTTTCGTTGTTTTGAGGCCTGAATTTGAGACAAGGTTTATGAAAAACATGGGAATAAATTTGATGTTCTGTGCATTGTGCGCAGCTCTGTAGTACAAGGTGATGTGTGGATGGCCATGGGAGGAGTGCCCAGCCCTCTGAGTGATGGGCTTATTGCATTTGAGGTGGCAGTTTAAGGTCTGGGCTTTGTGTTTCAGCCCATATCACAGGGTAGTGCACACACAGCAGCACTCTCAGCAGTTTTACAAAGGCTCTATCATGTTGTGGAGAACAAGACACATTTACTTGTGTATTACATTAGCAGAACTAACAGGAGCATATTGACTGGGAAAATGACTGCTGGCAAGAAGGGGGAGGAGGCAACTGCAGACCCCCAACAAAGGGAGCAACAACAGAACACTGTTACTGGACCCATACATTGGTGGTATTCCTTTTGACAAAATGAATGAATTTAATAAACAGTAGAAGGAGCATTTTTACTTGGATTTTGAGTGTGAGTGATTCGTGCTGCGAGACAGAGACTGCAGAAGCCACAGACACAATTGTATTTTGATTTCAGGTTTCAACACATCCAGATTGTGAGAACAATAACACAAAAAAGACAACATTCTTTGTCAATGTGCTCTCTGGATGTGGGTGAGCTTGAGCCAGTGATGTCAAGATACAGAAATAATGGATGAAGTATACAGCAACAATTTGCAGATAAAAATAATAGAAGTTAAAGTGTATTTTACATGATAAAAAAAAGATGAAAGAGGAGGAAGTCTGTTCCGTCTGAGATGGTTACAAAATGGTGAAGTAGCCTCTGCTGAGAAGATTGATGCAATGGGGAGTGACCTTGGCTTGGAGCAGGAGCTGGTGATGTATGTATGAGCATCTCGCTGCTAAATGGACCCAGATTTGTAGCACTAATATACATGGAAGCCCAGAACCAAACTCAGGATGGCAATAAATCAACAGCCACTTTGGGTGTCATTTCTGGTTTATATTCCACTATTGTTCTATCACTTTAATTCATGTCACTATCATCTGTTCATCTGGAACAGTTTTATATAATTTTCCAGTGGAGTTACCTGACAAATCCTATCAAATTAACAAGGTGCATTAACAGTATTGACTGACTGTGAATTCTGAAGTTGCAGGACCAAACAGTGAAAATTTTTTGAGGATATTTATAGGGGTGATGCTCTTAGAGGAAGGGATGGGGAACAGCCCTCACACATGAAAAATTTGCACCTTTATTTTTAGAACTTCCCCTGACTTTTTTTCAGTGAGAAAATGCGGCTTTGTATCATCAACTTCCATATTTTCCTTAAACTACAGCAAATACCATTCGGAATAATGAACCATTACAGTGAAATACCAACACTGACTTTACATAATCTGTCCAAAATTAAATCACAAACCAAAATGGGCTCCAGATACAGCCTTCAGCCTACTCAAATTAGTGAGTTCCAGAAGCCTGGGTGTTAATTGGACTCTTGATACAATGCTTAATTGCAATGTGATCTCTCTGATGTGAGGTGTGTTTAATGCCAGAGCGCATTGTTGGGTTAGTGGGGTGTTCCACAATCCACAGGGTGGTCAAGGCTGGCCTGGTCTCAGGGCAGGGGCTGCAGCCAGATCCCCCCACCCAGGCTCCTTCCTTGTCAGAACCCTCAGGAGGGAGAAAGTTTTCTGCTTTTTTTCCAGAGATGCAAGAGCTAAATGATATATAAATACCTTTTTCCTATATTGCTTCCTTTTTTCGATGTCTCATGAGCTTCACCCTGTAACTCATGACTGAAGACACATCTCTGTTTTTAAGGCTCTGCACACCTAGATGTAAAAAGCTGTTTGGGAAGTTTGTTCAGTTCCTGAACTGGTTCCAGCAGGATCCTCCTCACCCTCTGCACTGGTGTGGCCTCACCTTGAATACTGTGTGCAGTTTTGGGCACCACAATGTAAAAAAGACATTGAGCCATTAGAGAGCATCCAAAAGAGGCCATGAGGGTGGGGAAGGGTCTGGAGGTCTCATGAGGAGCAGGCGAGGGTGCTTTGTCTGGAGGAGACTGAGGTCAGACCTGGCTGTGGGCTCTGGCATCCCCACGAGGGAGGCAGCGGGGCAGGATCGGGTCTCTGCTCTGGTGACAGTGACAGGACTGAAGGAAGGAGCTGCAGCTGGGTCAGGGCACATTTAGGTTGGATAGCAGGAAAAGGATTTTCACCCAGAGCAGGGCTGGGCTCTGGAACAGGCTTCCCTGGAAAGTGATCACAGCATCAACCCTGCCTGGGTTCAAGAGGTGTTTGGACAACACTGAGGCACAGGCTGGGACTGTTGGGGTGTCTGTGCAGGGCCAGCAGCTGGACTCGAGGGTCCTCGTGGGTCCCTCCCAGCTCAGCACGTTCTGAACCTCTGGTTCTGTTATTCTGTGATTCTGTGTCTGCTGCACAGCAGACGGAGTGGGGCAGGTGGTGACAGGCTCTGTTCCACGCAGCAGTGGTGGCTGCAGAACCAGCAACAGCTCCTATAAATCTCCAGCTCCTGTAGCTACTGCTTCCATAAGAGCTCTGTATGCATTTGGAAGGATCTTTTCTGTGATACTTCTTTCTTTTGGTATGCTTATGCAGGAGAATAAAATGCAGATTATCAATGCAGTTTGATAACCATTTGCTTCTGGTTTCAAAAGCCCCTGTGCTTTCAGAAAGCCCAGAAGGGCAATATACCTCCAGCCCATTTAAGATTTATAAAGTGTGTCAAACGGCTGATATGAAATCGGTTAAACAGATCACTGTTGTGGCTCTCTATTCTTTCTCATCTCAGGTATTTCTGGAGACAAGGTAGAGATAGACCCTGTTACTAATCAGAAGGCCAGCACTAAGTTTTGGATTAAGCAGAAACCCATTTCAATCGATTCTGAACTCCTCTGTGCCTGTGACCTTGCGGAAGAAAAAAGCCCAAGTGAGTAGTCCTTTTTATTTATGTTCTCTCTTCTCTTCCTCCCTGGATGTGCTCGATGTCCAAAGAATTATTGCTACCATGTCCTTTTCTTTCTATAGGTGTATTTTATTCATTACAGGATGTTTTTAATCTGACTCAATTCTGTTATAGAGAGCACAGCATAAACAGACACACATTTTACGAGTGTCCTTTGATGCTGCTCTCAGCTAATGGCATCACTCAGTGTTTCTTGCCCACTATCACACCAAGGGAACACTGGCTCTGCCCAGCTGTCTCCAGCCCTGCAGCACAGCCAGCAAAATCCATGTTGCAACATAATTGCAAATTTTTGGCGCTTTTTAACTTCTAGACTGGTTTTTAATGTCTTTGGTGCAACTGAAGATCTCAGACATAGTGTCAGCTCATTCTGAATTTGCCCCAGCCCTGGCTGCAGGGTCACTGGATTGAAGGTGCCAGTCTGGGCATTCTGTTGGTGGTGACCAGGCCAGGACAGCAGGGACAGCCAGGTCTGGGGACAGGCTGGACATCCCAACTCAGTCATCACTCAGAGGTCAGAGCTGGCTCTGTAGAGTGCAACTTCAAAAGCGAGGGCTTCTGCTTGTTGTGTCAGTAGAGTAATGAGAGTCTCTATCTGGAAAATTTGTTTTAAAAAGCACAGGATGGGCCCTGAGAGAATTGGGCAATGGCTCCCAGTGGGGCCAAAATGGAACTGTCTACTATCAAAAAGTGACTGCAGTTCAAAAGCTCAGATGGATTTTATTGCACTTGTGCCTCTGCAGGGTAGTGAGATGCTGGTATTAAATACTTATCTGCAAGGTGACAGAGAGGGAGAATTATGTGATACATATTTACAGAGGTAATGATCTGTTGAATTCTCTTGGAAGAGTAAATTTATGGCTGCCACAGATTTTATCAGCAATTATTGAACTATATCCTTCTCTCCTTCATTACCCCTTCCTACGACATGTTCTTAGTTTAGTCATTGTCTTCCTTTTCTGTCTCTCCATCAAGATTTCATGGTTCTTGGGTAGGCACAATCCCAAGGAGAAGCTTCCCCAATGACCTGGTAGTGTGAAACACGTGAGGATTTTGTGTACAGTGCACAGGGCACTTTGTCACACCTCTGCTCTGCATCCACATTTCTCTGCAAATGCAAACATTTGAGGGGATAAAACAAGGCTGTATTTGTATTCTTGCCCACAAAACAAGGCTGTATTTGAAGAGTTGAACTGAAACCTGAGGTTTCCACTGCTCTCAACACATCAGGGCACAATCCCTGGACCCCTGGGACCCTGTCCTGCCAGGATGGGGCTCTCCAGCCCCAGAGGCAGCATCTGCTGCTGTGGGGAATTATGTTTGTACCCAAATCCTGCCAACCCAGGAGTTTCAACCCCCAAGTGGAGCCCAGGTGTAGGAGGGCAGTACCTGCATATGGGGAGCACTGAGTGAAGAATCACAGTGGCTTTGGAGAGGACACTGACAGGTTGCAACCAAGGCAGCCATAACAGTACTGAGGGGCTTATTTGCTCATTTTTGTGTAACATCTTAAACTTCTCCTACTAAATCATGGTTCAGCACAGTTCCAAAAGGAGAAAATACTTTCTTCTGAAACTGCTGACCTTTTCCCAACTCACTAAAGATGTTCCAAAAGTCATTATTTTAGGCCAGCAGAAAAGACTTTTAGTGTGACATCTCAGAATGATGCATTTTGGGGGAACTGAACAGCAGATCAGTATCTCTTGAATTTTAAATGGAAAAAAGTTATTTTAGTAGCATAAAGGAATGAAACTCACTGTATTTCACAAGTTTTGTCTGTGATTTTTATCAGCACGGTGATGTATGTTTGTAGCAGAGTTTACATCAAAAATTATTCCCGGATCTTTCTTGAATGAATTATTGCAAAGAGAGGCTGAGTACAGATAAGGTCTTTGAGTTCTGCAATATATTTTGTTTTCATGTTTTTATCTCTTGTAACACAAACATGCTCCATCTCCTCTTTCAGAAGTGCTGGTGCTTGTCCCGTTGGGTTTGGGGCTCCTTCCCTCCCCAGGCACCTCATTGGGCTAGAACCCAGCTGAGCTGTGCTCTGCTGGGCTCTTGTGATTCTGAAGAGGTGAAGGGTTTGGAGCAGCCCCCAAAGGTGACCCTACTTTTTAGTACAAGGGCAAGAGGTGTTGGGAACGGAGCCTGAGTGCTGGTTCCAGCATAAGGGAGCAGAGGAGAGTCCCCTGCACATGTTTTGTGCTTCCCTCTGGACTGGGTAGTGCAGAGAGGCTTTAGTGGCACCTGTGTGTGTGGAAGGACTCAGCAGCTGCAGAGCTGACGTGCTGGGAATGTTGATGGACAGCTCGGAGCCGTTCTGGACAGGCTGAGTTTTCCTGTGCTGTGAGTTCACAGAACTCAGAGCTGCCTTCAGTGAGGGCAGAAAATGAAAACAGAAAGCTGTGGCATCTCATTTGCCATTAGTGGGGGGACTGTAGGCAGGGACTGATGATTTTTGTTTGCCCTTGTAGTAGCCCTGGGTCAGAATTCAGAGTTTTATTTGTAAATTAAATCAGACTCCCTGGATTTAGACTGAGGGGAGAGTTAATGACCTTGCTTGCCTGTTCCGATGCCATTAGAACCTGACAACACTGGGCACGAACGTCTTCTTTAAATCAGGTTCGGCCTGATTATCACGAGAGATTCTGAATGTTTTGAGTCCTGAAAGGAAGCATCCTATCATGGAGAAATAAGATTTAAGCCTTAATAAAGTAGTTGTCATTTTTATAGCTGAAAAGAGCTTTGTATCTCAATTAAGTGTACATAATATAAAGTCTTAAGGAAGCAACATAATATGTTTAATACAATTATATCCCTTTGCAATAGTGTAATTTAAAGGAAATCTGATTCTGGTAATGTCTCTTACATTACTTGGACAGGGGAGAAACTTGAGTGTCGCTGCCCCTGCCCATGTGCAGTGCTCTGGTCCAAGCTGGGTATCCAGGGCTGCCAGGATGGGCTGAGCTGGCGAGGGAGCAGAGCCCAGGGCAGCCCCGCTGTGCCACCACATCTGATGGGCAGGGCACCCGCCCAGGGTGCTCCCAGGCATCTGTGCTTCACACGAGCTGCAGAAACTGGATTTATTTGATAATTTCCGTGACACACTGAAGCAACATTCTCTGTGATCCTTTATCTGCCTTTTTTTTTGTTTTCATAAAGCAGAGACATCTCAGTTTCTTTGTCAAAATACCCAGGGTATGAAGGTAAGTCTAAACAAGGGTGTGCCATAGGTCATGGAGTACATGGGTAACTTCAGTTTGTAATTTAATTGCCCGCTTTGCACCCTGCAGCTGAAGATTTCCTTTAAATTCTGATTCCATTGTTGCACTGGGGCTTAACAGAGTGTTAACCTGGTAATAGGCACAGGGCCTCCCCATTATATGTCTCGCTATCGAGCGGTTCTGCATGACTAGTTAAAAAAGATGGCAAGAAGATTAATGAAAGCTGCAAGTACAGAAGGGGGGCAGGTACCTCGGTGAGACTTCCAGCGAGGAGATATTAGAGCTGAACCAGAGCTTGGCTTTTTCTTTATCCTGTGACCTTTGAACCTGCCTTACTGTCGAGAGCTGCCAGCCGAGCCGACGTTTTGATTGATGTTGCTACACGAGTCAGTCTTTCCCATTGAATTCCACATCTGCACGAAAATAGCTTTTCCAGCAGTATTCACCCTGGCTGCAAGTGATAGCCAGAGACATGCCTGAACCCCCTTTATGTAGTTTTCATTTAAAGCTAAAGGTATTTGATGTTTTAATTCAGTGTCCAGTTCCTCACGATTATGCACATTGGGTAATACTAATTTAATGAATTAGTTGTTGGGTTGTGGAAGGGCTGAAAATATCTAGGAAGTGTTGGGAAGGCATTGGGTTCCTGCTGCTCTGGGAGCTCAGACAGAGCTGTTGCAGGTTTGCTCGGAGCCTGCAGTGGGGCCAGAGCAGAGGCAGCGTGTGCTCTGCAAATGCTGCACAAAATATCGTGTGCTGCTTCCTGCTATCTCTGCTCCCACAGCGGAGCAAGAAGTAACACAGTAAAATTCCTACTCAATAGGAGACTAATCACAGGTTCTGACTACAAAACAGGTTCAGCAGAGAAAATGTTCCCAAACTTCAGGCTTAGAACAAAAGACACATCCAGGTGAGGAGCAGAAGGGCAGAGCCCACGCATGGCCGGGGTGCAGGTGGCGGGGGCACAGGTGGCACAGGTGGCACAGGTGCCAGGGTGCAGACAGGGCTGGCACAGGTGGCACAGGTGCCAGGGTGCAGACAGGGCTGGCACAGGTGGCACAGGTGGCAGGGTGCAGGCAGGGGGAGCACAGGTGGCACAGGTGGCACAGGTGGCAGGGTGCAGACAGGGCTGGCACAGGTGGCACAGGTGGCAGGGTGCAGACAGGGCTGGCACAGGTGGCACAGGGGGCACAGGTGCCAGGGTGCAGGCAGGGGGAGCACAGGTGGCACAGGTGGCCATGGCTCTGCCGGCAGCTCCACGTGCCCTGCAGGGCTCAGGCTGTGCCAGGCCAGGGCAGCACCCGCAGAATGTGCCACCAGAGAGGGCCTGGCAGGGAGCAGTCGGGGCTGGAGCTGCTGCAGGGCCGGGCTGTGCTGATTAGCTTGGCCCCCTCCAGCAGCCTCTCCGTAAAAGTTCTCCTGAGCGCAATCAGGAGCGCGCATTGCCTCATCCTTTTAACAAATCTGTTTTGTAGCCCTATTAAAAGGGGTCTTCATCTATCCTGTCAAAGCTATTCTGCTGGGGTTTTTTAGTTTAATTACACTATCCAATTAAAACTCCTCGCTGCATTTTGATTCGTCTCTCCTTGGGCCTGAGTGGATGTGACATTTACAAGGCTCGCCTCTCCGGCAGACAATGCGTGATTGATGAGGTGCAGACGCAGTGGAGGAGCTGATTGCCATGTGGAAACACTGCATTTTGATTTATTTATCTTTTTTTCCCCAAACAAGGCTGCTGGTACACAGGTTTTGGGCAACCCTGAGTTGCACCTCAATTTTCAGCATTTTTGCAAAAATCTTCATTAATATTCTGCCTCTGATAGTAATTTAAAGAAGAAACAAAAGGCTTTGGGGGGAAAGAATCCAGATGTGTGAATAGTCACCACAATTTGACACCAAAGTGGGTGTGTACTGCACTTTAATTGCAGCTCTGTTTTCAGGACATCTGGACACATGGCACCCTCTAATAGCAATGCTGAAGAAGCAAGCCTACAGTGGAACATAAAGGGTGGGAGGAAAAGAGAGAGAATGGAGCAAGCCAGCTGGACCACAGCTGTTATTTTTTTTCCTTAACAGTTTTGTCATTTTTTCCCACTTAAGTCCTGCCCTGGTTTGAGGAGATCTGTCCCAGGTTCACACTGGGCAGCCCCAACCCATCATGACTCCACTGGTGTTGGTGGGGTGAGGATTTCATCCAGAACTTACTGCTCTCATTGCCTCTAGATGAACCTCTGGGATAAATCCCTCTTGCATAGAATGGGGTTAACCCCAGCTGTAGACACAGGTTCCCATTCTGCCTGTCCCCAGCTGAGCTCAGTGCTACATCTGGATAATCCAGCTGCAGCCACACCGCCACTTGTGACGTCCCCGGTGAAGTTTGTTACCGAGGGTGTCAGGAAGGGTGTTGGGTGTCTTTGGTGGTAACACAACCCCTGCAGCTTAGTAGGCCCTTCAGGCCTTTCTCCAGGGTCAGGACATCATTTCTGAAGTATCACAAGTGTGTTTCACACAGCTGAGCCCCTCCCCAATGCTTTGGGTGAAATACAGCAGTGGTTGCAGAGCAGAGGCTCCCCCATCTCGTGCAGGCTTTGAAGGAAATGTGTCTTTGCACAAAAGCCTTGCTGATGCATATTTTATTATACTCATTCCTTGCCTTTTACTGGTGTATTTCTAATCCTTTTGCATCCTTTCTGGGCCCATGAGAAGAGATTTCAGGGTTTGAGCCTGTTGAGGTCACAGTTTCTGAAGCAGTGAGACTCAGTGATGTCAAACCGTATCCATAAATGCTTTGTTCTTCAGAGAGTCCTTCTCCAGCTATTTATTCCACTAATAACTCTTAATTGTTGACTTCTGCCTTATGGCCCTGTAATGACAAAGCAATCATCAAGGTATATTGAAAAATTAACATAAATTTGCATTTCCAGTGTTTGTTTATTTTCTGCTTTGTCCAATTCATGAATATTCTTTACATCCTCCTTCTAATTAGTGATTTAATTCTGTGCATTCTGTTTAAAGAGTGGTGTTGGCAGAGAGAGGATTTGGGTAAGGCCTGAATTGTGGGGTAGGAAGGAAAGAAGAAAAGCTTTGTAGTCTTGGCAGATTTGGTAAAAAAGTTATCTTTTCTTGGGCAAATTCATATCCTTGTTTTCCAGGCAAAAAAACGTATTTTTTTAGACTTTGATAAAAAGAGTTTATTACTCAGAGTGATTATTTTTTTACCTGTGTCAGGTGCAGTGTGGGGCCCACCAAGGGTTTGGATGTTTTCCCACGATTGCAGAAATTAGCACAAGATTTACTGTACCGTACAGGCACATGATGCTCAGTGGTTCTGGAGCTGTAACTCCACAGGGTTCCTCGGTGCTGTGTGTGAAGATGGGGCTGTGGAGAGGCTGCAGGATGGAGCTGCACCAGGAGCTCCAGCAGCCCTCAGAAGGGTGAGGAGACCCAAGCGCTGCAGGGCCTCTTCCCTCGCCTCGTTGGCAGTGCAGTGGTGCTAAAAATCAGGAGATGGGGTGAGCAGCTGAACACCAGACGTGGTGCTGAAGGAGTAAATGAGCTCTCCGTGGTGAATTCCCAGTGAATTAGCATCCTGCCCTTCCGGCGGCAGCGGCTGCAGGCTCCTCTCCAGGAGTAACCGCACAGGAACCCATTAGTGTTGGGCTGGGTGAGATTTATCCGAGCCGGGCCGAAGGGCAGCAGCGGGGAGACGCCGCTGGGGCAGGGGCTGGGGGCTCGGCCGTGCTGGGGCTGCTGAGGGGCACCGGGGCACCGAGCTCAGCCTGGCTGCGCCGTGACACGAGCTGCTGAGTTCCTGTCACTCCGTTTGCTTCCCATAACTGTTCTAGCAGACAAACACGGGATTTCTGTTGTGCAGCTGATTAATCCAGACTGAGGGGCACCGAGGATCCCTGCAAGCACCCATCCACCGCTGGTGTGGAGGGAGGGTAACAGCTGCTTGGGCAGCGCCTGCATTTGCTTTAAATCCCCCATCACGGGCAGTAGGAGCCGCTCGAGCTGCTGCTGTTTGTTACCAGGTCCTCTCGCACGGAAACATCAAACCATGGAAGCTCCTATTGATCTCAGAATTGTCAGGGGTGGTGCTCTATTGGAAAGAGGTACATCACATATTTAAGCACTCTTGGAAATGGAAATCAATCTCACAATTCATAAATTCCATCTGGCTAGAAGAGTAGCAGAGCAAAGTGCCAGTTAGGATTTCAGTGCACTCATATTTCATGCTGTAAGTAGTGTGTTGTGGACTTGGAGCCCATAAACATGATGCTGTAATGGGGCTTTCTAAGGAAAAGTCTTCTTGGCCTCTTTCCACTGAATCACCAGTCCCAGCAGGATGGGGCTGCGATTCTACGCGGCTTTGGCATCGGTGCCGGCTCCCAGGAGCCGCTGCAGGAGCCACTCTGGGCCAGTGCCCTGCCCAGCAGGCAGGACCAGAGCAGCCTCTGTGCCCGTGGGAGCAGGAACGCTGCCCTGGCAGGGCTGCCCTGGGCAGGGCAGTGCCTGAGGGACGTGTGGAGTCACCGTGGCACGAGGCCAGGCTGGCCATGAGCGAGCAGGGAACACCTGCAGAGGTTTTGCCGTGATTCACAGCAAGAATTACCCAGCGACTTTCCAAAACCCCAAATCCAGCAGCTCATTGGGATCCTCTGACCCTGTTTTGTGCCAGTTCCATTTCTGATAACCAGTGTGGAATGTTCAGTGTCCAAGGAAAATGGTGGGAGCTGGTGCAGCACAGTGCTGTGTCCCATCCCCAGGAGTGGTGCACTGGCACTTTTGGAATCATTAAGATGCTGTGTTCCAGGCAGAACTGCATGCATTAACATGCTGATGAGCTCCCAGCTTGGAATTCCGCATTTTTAGTACCACTGAGGCATCATTTGTCAAATGATTTAAAGGGTTGGGGTTTTATTATTATTATTAGCCAATTTTTCAATACAGAATTTATATTCCAGATTAGTGCATCATAATGGTGTTTAATTAACATGCCACAATAAAATACTTGCATCTCAAATTTCCTGGCCACCACTCTGAGCATATATCAGTCACTTTTTGGAAATCTGGAGAATTAGATAATGTAAATAAGATTTCCAATTAGCTTTCCTGCAGAAAAGACCTGGATTTACAGTAATGTGACTGTTACTTTATGGATTGCTAACTTTGACTGTTGAACTGAATAAATTAGAAAACCGTTGGAAAAGTAGCATGTACAGAATACATTTAATTTTAATTCTGAAGACATCAGCATCCATACAAGTGAAGGATGTTTTGCCTTCTTTCGTGTTCCACATTAGACCTTTGTGTCTAGGTGGTTCCCCCTGGCACCACATGTCAGAGTCTGGGAGCTGGGCCAGCACCGTGGCCACAGGGCCAGCACGTGGAACATCCATTTGGGACAGCGGCCCCAGCACCAGGGAAGTGCCAGCAGGTCACAGAGTTTAACTTGATTTTCCTCTGTGTGGGAAGGGTGGTCCCAGCCCCGAGCATGTCCCTCGGTGCCGCTCCCCAGGGCCATCAGCGGCGGGCTGGGCTCGTCTGCTGTTTTGGGAGGGGGGTTTGGAGTGGGGATTTGGGATTAATTGCCATTTTCTTCTCAATGCAACCCTTCTGCTGTGGGCGGTGAGCGCCCCGCGCGCGGCTCCAGGCGCAGCCCCAATGCACCGGCTGAGCTGCAGCGCCGTCGTGGCCCAGCAGAGCTAACCAGGCATTTGATGGATTTTTGCATTTCCTACAGTGGGGATGTGATGGGAAAAGGAACTTTATTGACTGGAGTTCAGCTGCTCCTGTAAGCCACCACTTGCCTTAAATTGAAATGACATGAGAAGCCTGTCAGCATTTCATTGCTTCCTTCTGTCGTGCTGATGGTATGCTGAGATCACCATCTGTGGTTTTCTTCTGTCAGGCGCACGAGCTCTGCTCAAACTTTACAGGAATATTCTAAGCAGTTTTTTTCTTATCTTTGCAGGTCATGCAATATTTAAACTTACATATCTAAGCAATCATGACTACAAACACCTTTACTTTGAATCAGATGCTGCTACTGTCAATGAAATTGTACTGAAGGTGAGTATTAAATTTTAACGTGACCCAAAATCCTGGTGTTTTCCCACTTGTTAGACATGTGAGTATTCAGGAGGCTCTGGAAACACAGGAGGGTGCAGTGCCTGAGGACCACTGGGGTGTGTTTGACCTGCCAGGATGGCTGCTCCATGCCTGGTGTTTTATTCATCCTTCGAACAGCCGCTGCCTGTCCGTGCATAGCATTTCCTTTTGTGCTTGTTTCTCGTTTACAGAGACTGTGGAATTTTATAGGAAATTACCAAATTTTATTGTGTCCCGGTAGTTTCAACCTCTGGACACGTGGTCAGCGGGATCATGCAGGAGTTGGGTGCTCCTGCCCCTCACACCTCTGTCCCACACTCGGGTGTCCCTACACAGCACACAGGGACTTTTCTGCCCTGGTCCTCTCTGTTTGTTTTCCTTCCTCTCTGTACGGACACAAACTCCCTTGCTTTGGGAAACAAATTTTTGTTACACTCTTGAAAGATTAAATGGAATTTTCCACAAGTTCATCTTTCATAGCAAGTCAAAATTCAAAAGCAGTAATTTTGGCAAACCATCTGTTATGTTTGCTTTTATTGGCTGTGTGGAGTTTAGTGGATTGTTAAACAACTGACGTGCGATAAAATAACTTTTATTCATTACACAGAAGGTCAGCGTGTTTGAGGGGGGTTTCTGTTTCGTGAGCTGTTGGGCCAGTTCTTCTGTTCCCACTTTATCTTAGATCAGCTCTTGCAATCCCAGACACGTAGAGTCATGGAATTGTAGAATCATTAAGGCTGGAAAAGACCTCCGAGGCCATTAAGGCCAACCTTTGCCCAAGTACCCCCATGCCACATCTCCTTGGGTTTTGAACACTTCCAGGGGTGGTGACTCCACACATCTGAGACTGGTCATAAACAAAGGCTAAAAAAATGGTTTACTGTCAATAACATGAACATTCAAGAGGGAAATAATACTGAGCAATACTTTTTCCCCAAGTTGCAGTTTGTTTATATAGAACGTTCTCTGGTTTCATGCACAAGTCACTGGTTTGTTTTCAATTCCATCAGCATTAGGGAGCGCAGAAAAATCAGACTTTTCAAATTAGGCTTTTTAGATGATCAAGTGAAAAGGATTGAGACTTTATTGACCATGAAAATTCCCTATATTTTTATGCCTTAAGCTGTAATATGCAATGAAAGTGAAACACTCTACAGTGCATAAAATTGTGCAAGTTTTAAGCCACAGCATATTAACCAGCTAATGACAGACCAAAGGGCATTTTTATCTTTTTGATTCTTGCATTAACCTTCCATTAAAATTATCTCTGAGATTATCACAAAGCATTGGAGATAATAAATTTAGGGAGTAGCAGGCTTGTTAAATATCATTTTAAAATGCTTTCATCAAGTAAAATGTGCCAAAACACAGGGAAACTCTGAGATTGGCTGAGTATGCAAACATCATAATGGAAGAATTCTTTTTACTGAGGCTGATAAGGTCCTTTATTGCTGCTCATTACTGGATTATCCCAGCACTGGGGGGTCTGCCCAGCTCACTGCCTTCCCCAGAGGTTTGGGGGACCCAAAATGGGATGAGGGACACAGGACAGGCCAGGGCTCTCCTGGCACTCTGGGCTGTCTCTGCCATCGTCGTGCTGGTGTTTGCTGGGACCTGTTACAGCAGAGCCCAGTTCAGGGGGTGGGCTGGGGGTCCCTGCCCACCCCGGGCTGTCCCAGCTGGCCTCACTGAGCACCACCTCGTGTCTTGCAGGTTAACTATATTCTAGAGTCGCGAGCAAGCACAGCCAGAGCAGATTATTTTGCTCAGAAACAAAGAAAACTGAGCAGGAGAACAAGCTTTAGCTTCCAGAAGGAGAAGAAGTCGGGCCAGCAGTGAGGCCGAGCCTCGAGGAGAGCCTGTGCGCCGCGTCCGGAGCCGCTCCCCGCCCGCAGCGGCGCAGCCAGGACCGGGCTGCTCCTGCTGCCCGGGGCAGGAGCGGCCGGGAAGGAACCTGAATTCTCCCGTCTCTCACGGCTGGAAGATTATCCCTCGTTGGTGATGGGAAGTCTCCCCTGTGACAGAAATAAAGAGCCATATCAGCCGGAAAGAAGACTGTTACGCTTCAGGTTCCTTTGATTAGAAATAAGAGAATGACGTAGACTGGCATCATTTAATTACTGTATTATGTACAATCACAAGAAGAGATGTGATTACATATTATTTCACAGCCTGGTTAAAATAAATTATATACATCTGTAATCCACCCACGTACACGCAGGTATTGCTTGTGACATGATCAAATTTCTAAAAACAAAATGTAGGACAAATGTATCCATTTTTACTATTAATAAACAGATGTAATCTTTTTCAAGGTCCATATGATGCACAGTTCTTTTGGGGGGAGGCTGCAGTCCCAGATGGTTTCACTTCTGTTGCTGAAGTGCAGGAGGCATCCGTGAGCCAGGAACAGCAGCCGTGGCAGGGGAGCGCTTAGCCAGGGAGCACCGAGACAGTTGAGTCTGTTGTGTTTGTTTTGTTCAAAAATATTTTTATTTAACTGTGCTTTTCAGCTTTGCAAATGCTTTATTGGAAGTTCCTTGCTGAAGGCAGCACAATGGTTGGAAATCCACGTCTTGGAGGTGGAGAGGGGAAGCCTCCTGCCCGGGACCCTCAGCTGCTGCCACCCTGGGGCTGGCACATCTGCTGGGGTACCTTGCCCTGGGGACTGAGAAATGCCTTCACCTTCTCTCAATAGTATGCTTTAACAATAAAAATTAAGACGTACTTTGTACTGGGATTTGTAACTATCTTGGCCTTGTTCATCCTTAATTTATCAGGGAACACGGGAATGGATTGCTGGGAGCCGCATTTTTGGTTGAATTCACCAGAGGTGTCTTTCTTCCCTCTCTCCAGCTCACTGGAGCTGTGCACACACATCCTGCTATTGTAGAACTGCCCTAGTTCCCCACGGGGCTGGGGGCAGTTCCCTGGGGCACTGCCCACCCTCTGCCAGCCTCCCACCTTGATTTTGTACAGAGAAAACTTCCTGAGCCTTAACACAGCGCGCGGGAGCAGCCCCTGGGCAGAGGGAGGGTCTGGGTCTCACCTGTTGTGTTTGTGTTCTGGGTTTCAGCGGCCTGGCCCTGCACCACTGAGGCCAGGCCTCCCTGTACAGTCTTCCATGATATCCGCAAAACAAGAGAAACGCTATTTTATAGTACTCTATTAATTTTTTTAATATTTTCTATGTGCAAATGCAGCACAGATACAATGGGGAGAGCCCCTTCGATGTAAATGACTCTTTTAACCGACTCTGTGAAATATTTAACATTAAAGTTGCTCTGTGAATGTTCTTTGGCCACCCAGTTTCAATTCTTTTTAACTGAACTGAAAAATTGCCTATTTGGTACCAGAAACTGCAGCAATCTCCTGTTTCCATAGCCATAGTGCTGTTTCCACCCCCTCACGTGTATTTATTATCAGCAGGGATTCAGCATGTGCAGGTTTGCTCTCAGTAGAGCCTAAAAACTCAACTAATAATGTCTCTGCTGCCTGTGACATTTGTGTCACAGTCCCTTGCTCAGACCAGCTGTGTTCACACCCTCTGATCAGTCACCTCCCTGTTCCTGGTGTGGGTGTCCCTGGACCCAGGCAGGGATGGACGGACAGACTGCTGGAGGCTGCTCTAAGGGTTGGGTGAGGAGCAGGGAGCTTTGGAGCCCAAAGTGAGTTTATTTGCTCCAAAAGAGCCACTGACACTTATAAAGCAAATTTGCTTCCAAAGATTAGATTCAGTTTGCTACATGGCACACAGGAAACCTTCCTTAAATCCTGGAAAGATCCAGCATTGCAGGAGCTGAGCATCCCTCTCCCAGAACAGGCATTTCTGCTCCTTGGCGCTCCCGAAGGAGTTAAGTCGGCGCTCACGGCTGCAACGTGTGCACAGCTGAGCCGGAGCCATCACGGGCTGGTCTTTCCCCAGTAGCTGTAGATGTAATTGAGTCAGATGGGCATTCAACTGGGTCAGCAAGGCAAGCTGTTCCTCCATCCCTGCTACCGGGCAGAGCACCGACCGTGACTCCGGCCTGCCGCGTGCAGGCAGCTGCTGGAGGCAGCAGAGATTCCCTGAATTTCCTCTGACTCCTGCTGTCAGAGGCGTCCTGTCCATAGGGACAATTCCCCTCCATCTCCTTGGCTTTATCAGAGCATAGGAGAACACCAGAGTGACCTTTGAGCAGGGCACCCTGGCAATGCTGGCACCCGAGGCCAGAGCACTTGATGCTCTCCCTGGGCTCCGCAGGGCTTTGCCATGCGCTCCCAGAGGGACAATTCCAGCCGAGACACCTTCATTTTTGGGTTGGCGGGAGTCTGGTGCATCCCAGGGGTCTTGCAGCTGCCCTTCAGGCGGGACTGAGACCTGGCACCGGGACAAGCAGGCAAAACCCATTGCACAGCCATGGGTGCAGCCCTGAGATTAATGGGTGGAGTTATTTATGGAGACATGTTTGTAATGGGCCCATGAATTCATGGAAATGCGCTGCTGTGGTGGCGGGTGGGGCTGGGTGCTGCTGCCTGCAGCTGAAATTAATGCCCCTTAAATCACATCCCAGCACAGCCACCCCTGTGCAGCCCTGGGACAAGGGCAGGGACGTGTGGGCACAGCGGGCACACAGCCAGCTGGGCCAGCAGGAGTGTGCCCTGGCCAGGTGCTGCTCCCTGGCATTGCTGCCGTGACCATGGGAGATCTCAGATCCAAGCTGGGGCATGGAGAGGGCTGGCCCTGGGCACAGCTCCATGCTGCTGCTCCACTGCATGAAGGGTTAAGCACTGTCATGTTTTATTCTCCCCGCACACCTCTGCTTAAATGCAAAAAGGGAAAAAAAATCTCAACAGGGTGTTGTTCACTCTAAAAACCCTAAGCATGATTTGTGAACTCTCACAGCCTGGGTAATCTCATCAGAGTAATGGGATTATATTTCAAATCACCATGGCCTGTTCATTACACATTTAAACTCCTTTGACAGAGGAAAAGTTAAATAAAATGTGTGCGTCAGCCCTGGTTGACTTTCCCAGTTCTCTTTCTTGATTAGACAAACAGATGCTGAGCTCCAAAATGAAAAAATAATGTGCTCATTTATTCATTTTTCTGACAAGTCACAATAGATTTTTAACTACAAATGAGCCCCCTCCCCAGGTGGGAGTGCAGGGGCTGCATGTGCCGTAGCGGGCTGGGAGCCGGTGGCAGGGGCTGGAATGGGGCACAAGTGGTCATTTCCCTGCTGTGAGCGTGGGGACACTGCCACAACTCCCCTGCCACCACCACCACCACTGCCAGGTGGATTTCTGTGAGGAGCTGGAATTCCACTCCACCGGCAGAGCCCCGGCACAGCCCCCGCCCCAGCACCGCAGCTCTGGGTGAGCCAGCCCAGGCCCAGGCACCCCCTGAGGCTTCTGGCACCTCCTCTTGGCTCTGCTTACCCAAGCTGGAGCACACCCAGCTGGGGCTGCTGGGGCCACCATGGCCATGGGGACAGTGGTGGTGTGGCCATGGGGACAGCAGTGGTGTGGCCTTGGGAACAGCTGTGGTGTGGCCATGGGGACAGCAGTGGTGTGGCCATGGGGACAGCAGTGGTGTGGCCTTGGGGACAGCAGTGGTGTGGCCATGGGGACAGTTGTGGTGTGGCCATGGGAACAGTTGTGGTGTGGCCATGGGGACAGCAGTGGTGTGGCTACGCCGAGCACTGTCAGGCACAGGCACATACCTGCTTAGTGCACTGGAGCTCCCAACACCTCTCCTGATGTCGTTGCTCCCAAACTGACCTCGGCACGAGCACCAGGTGTGTGATGGGAGTGCGGGAGGGCTCAGCCCAAGTGTGGAGGGCCTTGCTGCCCCAAATCCTGCAGGGGCCTCACCAGGGTGGGTCAGCCTCCTCCCAGGAGCTGCAGATGAAGGAGCACATGGGCTGAGCGGGCTGGGCTGTGCTCCTGCTGGAGAACAAGGTCTCGTCAGGGAGCACCAGGACTCTATTAGGGAGTTGAAATGCCAGATAATTAGAAATACACCAGCAAACCCCATTATTGTCAGGAGGCTGCAACTGCTTACAGTAATGAAGCAATTATTAATGAGCAACTGCAAGGCTGTCATTAATTTCAGCTTTTCAGGATCACAGACTACGACAAGTTAAATGTTACAGCAGAGCCAGGCTGGGCAGAGCAGGGCTGGTCCCCACCCCAGCTGGGCACAGCAGGAAATTTTGGCACCCGTCATCCTGGGTGGGACTCTCCCTGTGCCCGCAGTGCCATTCCCAGCCCCGTTCTCTCCTCCTTTGCCCCTTTGGGGCACTGACAGGGACGGGGACAGGGATGGGGACAGAGACAGAGACGGCTGGGATTGCCGATGGTGTTCCCGAATGTCTCCTGCACCACAGACCGGGGTTGCCGGCCCATCCTGCGGCAGCACAGGCTCGGTGCCGGTGGCTCCGGGTGTGCTCGGGGCCGGTGCAGCCGGGATCTGCTCCCGCACCAGCGCAGCCCCGCGCCGCAATCTGTCACGGCGGCTGGGGCTCGCCGGCTCTGCAATATGTACCTCATGTCTGGGCTGTCATCGGACATAATTCCTCCCTGCTGGCATATTGCTGATTTGTGCATAAGTGATGCGTGCAATCCACCTGAGCCGGGAGTCAGGGGTGCCTCGATCCGGGGCTGTCAGGGCAGAGTGTTTTAGTGCCTCCTGCGATTAGCTGGAATTGACAGGCCCTGAGAGCCGAGAATTGCACAACAGGGGAATTAACAGCCAGGGCTGGAGTGGAGTGTGGCACTCGTTTAATCTGCAATTTATCAGTTTGCGTGGCTCCTTGTCGCAGGCAGAAGATTACACTCCCAAAACGACGACTCTGTTCTGTCAGAGAAGGAGAGGGCAGAGCAGCCCTCGGGGTCACCGACGTCGTGGGAAGGGCACCCTGGCGTGGGGTGTGGTGGGCACTGCCCCACGGGCTGGGTTCCTTCCCGTGGGGCAGGAGTCAACCCCAGTCCTCACAGGCACGCAGGGATCCGTCCCTGCGGCCGCTGCACCCCTCAGCACATCCATCACCCGCGGGACTCGTGCTCCAGAGGAGGATCCATGGATCCAGTGGTGGCAGCGGGGATAGATCCTCTGCCCCCACTGTGCCACGAGAGCTCCAACTTTGATAATATCATTATAGGCTGATAATGGTTTCCAGGAACTCTGCAGCCTCTCTTCGAGGTGACAGCCTGTAAAGGCAGCTTACAGATAATGTATTCTGCAAGGGTACAATGATGTGACTCCGAGCACATTAAACTCCTTTAATGTGGGTGACATACACCTTCCTCCTCACATACATTACCCACCCGGGGG